CCCAGTGGAAGGCTGAGGTAGAAGGAATGCAAGTTCAAAGTCAGCCTCAGCAACTTAGCGAGCCCTAAGCAACTTAGCAAGACCTTGTCTCAAAATAAAAAATGGCTGATGATGGGGCTCAGTGGTTAAGTGCCCCTGGGCTCAATCGTTGGCACAAAATAAACAAACAAAAACCCACGAAAGGCAGAAAAGTGTGGAAGACAAAAATAGGAACAAACAACAAGGTTAGCAAATAGAAGACAGTAACAACTATGGTAGATATTAATTCAACTATTTCAATAATCACTTTAAATGTCAGTGGTCTAGATACACCAATTAAAATTCAGATATTGTCATAGTGTATAAAAACAACAAGACCCAACAAGATGTTGTTTACAAGAAACCCACTTTACATATAGAGACATATATGTTTAAATAAAGGAATGGAGAAATATATACCATGCTAATACCAATTGGAAGAGAGTTGGAGTAGTGATATTGTTTTCAGAGCAGACTTTAGAGCAAGGAAAGTTATGAATGAAAAAAAGGAAACATACACTTAATATGTGCCTAACAATGGAGCATCAAAATATATGAGAAAATAACTGATAGACGTGCAAGGAGAAACATATTACGGTTGGAGACTTTAATGCCTCTCTATCAAAATGGGCAAATGCAGCAGGCAGAGCAGTAACTGCATAGTTGAAATCATCAGCAATCATCATCATCAATCAATCAGATGTAATTGGCCTCCAGAGACTACTTGATCAAATCACAGCAGATTACACATTTCTCCTCAACCTCACATGGGACAATCCCATAAGATATACCACATTCTGGGCCATAAATTCTCAACATTAGTAAACTTCAAAGAATAGAAATCATCATGTCTGCTCTCAGATCACAGTGGACAATTTAGAAATTTAAAAAATAGAAAGAGAATTGGAAAATCCCCCAATAGTTGAAGATTAAATGATACACTTTTGTTTTAAGAGAAGGGAAAGTTTATCTGGTGCGCCTGGTTTCCTAGGTCTCAGTCCATAGAAGGTCAACTCCATGGCTGTGAGTCTGAGGTGAGGCAGAACATCAAGGCAGAAAGGTGTGGAGGAGGAAAGCAACTCAGGATATAGCAATTAGGAAGCAGAGAGGGAATAAATAATACACTTTAAATAATGTGTGGTCAAAAAAACTTAAAAGAAAAAATTTAAATAGATTAAATGAGAATAAAATACAACTTGTCAAAAATCTGTGCAAAGCAGTGCTGGGAATCTACAGCATTGAATGCATATACTGGAAAGAAAGAAGATCCAGAGTCACCAATAGAAGCTTCTGCCTTAGGAAGTTCAAAGAAGAAGAGCAAATTAAATCCAAAGTAAGCAGAGGAAAAGGCAAATAAAAAAATAGAGCAAAAGTCAATGATATTAAAAATAGGAAAAGAATAGAGAAAAGCATCAAAACCAAAAGCTGCTTCTTTGAAGAGATCAATAACATTGATAAATTTCTAGCCAAGTTAATAAGAAGAAAAGGAGAGAAAAGAAAACAAGACTTGCTATCAAAAATGAAAGATGGAAAGTCAATATAGACACCATGAACACTAAAAGAATAATGAAAGTATGTTATGAATAACTCTGTGCCCTCAACTTTGATAATGTAGATAAAATGGACCAATTTCTTAAAAGACACAATCTGCTTAAACTAATTCAGGCCCTGTAGTCCCAGAGATTCAGGAGGTTGAGGCAGGAAGATTGCAAGTTGAAGGCCTGCCTCAGCAACTTAGTGAGACCTTGTCTCAAGATTAAAAAAAAATAAAAAGGACTAGGAATGTGGGTCAGTTGTACATGCGCTCCCGGATTCAATCCCTAGAATCATCAAAAAATAAATTGGGGCTGGGGCTGTGGCCCAGCCGTAAAGCACTTGCCTGGCATGTGTGAGGCACTGGATTTGATTCTCAGTACCACATATAAATAAATAAAAATAAAGGTCTATCAATAACTAAAAAAAATATTAAAAATACATAAGTAAATAAAATAAGATAAAACTAATTCAGAAAAAAATAGATATTCTGAATAGGCCTATATCTGTTAAACAAATTGAATCAATATGATCAACAAACTATTGAAGAAAAATTACATAATCATATTGATAGATGCAGAAAAAGCATCTAATTAGACTCAACACCAATTCATGATTTAAAAAAAAAAAAAAAACAACTCTTCATCAATACAGAAATAGAGGGCAACTTCCTTAATTCGGTAAAGAATATTTGTAAAAACCATATAGTTGCCAGGTGTGGTGGTGCATGCCTGTAATCTCAGCAGCTCCAGAGGCTGAGGCTGGAGAATCTGCAAGTTCGAGACCAGCCTTAGCAAATTAGCAAGGCACTAAGCAGTTTAGTGAGACTCTGTGCCAAAATAAAATAAAAAATAAAAAGGGCTGGAGAGGGCTGGGGCTGCAGCTCAGTGGCAGAGCATTTGCCTAGCATGAGTGAGGTACTGGGTTCAGCGCACATTAAAAAAATAAATAAAATAAAGGCATGCTGTCTATCTACAACTATATTTTAAAAACTTAGGGGGAAAAAAGTCTGGGGGAAATGTCTCAGTGACTAAGCACTCCTGGTACCCCTCCAAAAAAATATGAAAGAAAAAAAATGAAACCCTACAGCTAATGTCATTCTTGCTGGTGACATTAAGATCAGGAATAAGGCAAGGAGGTTCCCTCTAACCACTGTTTTTGAACATTATACTGGAAGTTGCAGCTAATACCATAAGGAAACAAAAGGTACTGGGGAGGAAGAACCAAAATTACTTTTTGTCTACAGATAACATAATTGTCTATGTAGAAAATCCAGATGAATTATATAATAATATAATTATTATTATATAATAATAGCAGGTTGAAGGATACAAGATTAATGTACAAAAGATAATCATTTTCCTATAAACCAGCAATGAGCAAGTGGAATTTGAACTTAAAAACACATTATCATTTACATTAGCACCCCCAAAAATGAAATACTTAGGTATAAATCTAACAAAATATGTCAAGATCTGTTATGAAGAAAACAATAACACTCTGATGAAATAAAGAAATAAATAAATGGGGAGAGATTCTATGTGCATGAATAGGAAGACTCAATACTACCAACATATTAGTTCTTCCAAACTTGATCTGTAGACTCAACACCCCAAATTCCCAGCACATTATTTTATGGCTACGAAGAAACTGATTCTATAGATTATATGCAAAAACCAAAGACCCAGAATAGCCAACTGAAAATGGAAAAAGACACTATTGAACTTCAAGATTTCTATAAAGTAATCAAGACACTGAAATTCACAAAAGAATAGGCTAAGAGATCAATGGGACAGAAGAGAGAGCCCAGAAATAGACTCACATAAATACAGTCAATTGATCTTTGATCAAGGAGCAAAGGCAGTACAGGGGAGTAAAGATAGTCTTGTCAACATACACACTGAAAAAACTGGACATCCAGAGACAGACCTTAAACTTTTCACAAAAAATCAACTCAAGTGGGCCGAGGATATAGCTCAGTTGGTAGAGTGCCTGCCTCGCATGCACAAAGCCCAGGGTTCAATCCCCACGCCACAAAAAGTCAACTCAAAATGGATGATAAACCCAAATATAAAACACACAATAGAACTCTTAGAAAAAACATAGAAACCCTACATGACCGTGTCTATGGCAATGCCTTTCTAGATGTGACATAGAAGGCATGATCCATGGACTGATGAGTTCGATTTATTAAATTAAATGTCAACAGAATGAGAAGACAAGTTGCAGACTGGGAAGAATAGTTGCCAAAGATGCATCTAATCAAGGATTGCTATGCAAAACATACAAAGAACTCTTATAACTCCACAATAATACGATGAACAAATGAACAACTTGGTTAAACGTTGTACAAAAGAACTGAACAGACAGCTCATTTGAGAAGAGGATAGGCAAATGGCTAGTGATGAAAAGATGGGCAACATCACACGTCGTTAGGAAATTGCAAATTAAAACAACAGTTACCACTACATTCCCATCAGAATGTCCCAAATCCAAAACACTGACACCCCCCAAATGATGACAAGAATGTGGAGCAATGGCAATTCTCATTCACTGCTGATGGGAAGGAAAATGTCATGGCCACTTCGGAAGACAGTTTGGCAGTTTTCTCCAAAACTAATACTGTTCCCACGTGATCCAGCAATCACACTCTTGATCAAAGAATCAGTGGTTGCCAAGGATTGGGGGAGGGAGGAATAAATGAGCATGTCTCTGAGGATTTTTTTTAAGACAGTGACACTGCTCTGTATGATAATGCAGTGGTGGATACATGTCATCAAGCATTTGTCTAAACTCATAGAATGTACAAAACCCAGAGTGCTCCTTCAGGTAAGTATGGACTTCAGGTGATGAGATGTCTATGTAGATTCATCAAGTCTAACAAATATCCCACTGGGGGTGGATGTTGAGAGTAGGGGGTGTTTGTATGGGAGGAGGGAAGTGAGTGTATGGGAACTCCATGTACTTACCTCTTAACTTTGCTGTGAACCTAAAAATTCTCAAAAAAAAAATACTTTATTAAAATAAAAAAGCAAGGTACTCAGTAATACATATGATGTAATCCCATTTATGTCTTAAATATTATACGATATTATTTTCAGACTGTGCCTTTATCTTTTGTATGGCTACATTGGTGAACCCTGTTACCTTCGACCTTGAGGTTGAGGGAGGGGAGGGACACCTTCCCTTGTAGCTGCAGTCTGTCACATTTTAGTGTTCAACAGTGGTACTTATTCATCCGGCAAAAAGGAGCTGCTGCTAGCCCTGTATCTCTGGGTTCTTCTTTCAAGGTCACATCAGAAGGTCATGTTGTCTGGCAATTTTAAAGTACAAAGCTGTAGCACTCTGTGGGACAAGGGGTTAGGGGTTGGGTAGGGTTTTTTCGGTTTATTTTCTCACAGAGCATTCTGAATAGTTTGGAAAAACTAACTGTGATTCCTTTTCCTCAGAGAAGCCCTGTGGAGACCCGCCTTCATTCCCACACACCATCCTGCAGGGCCGCACGGGCTTGGAGATGGGGGATGAGCTGCTGTATGTGTGTGCCCCAGGGCCTGTTCCAGGCCAGCGAGAAATGGCCTTCACCTTGCTGTGCAACAGCTGCGGGGAGTGGTACGGCCTGGTGCAGGCCTGCGGGAAAGGTAAGCACCTGGGCTGGGCCACCCACCTGCCACACAGAGCCCAGGAGGTGCTAGCAGAGGGTCCTGTTCTGCTTGCTGGCTTCCTGCAGTGGGCTCCTTTTACACCGAGGTGTCTTATTATTAAGGTGTCTCATAAAGATTATTCAGATTATTCTGCTGAGCTCTGGGCCTGGCAACATCTCTGCGTGGGCTTCCTGCAGCATTTTAAATGCAGCATCCCTACAACTGAGCTCTTCATCTTCCTTGCTGGGGGTAAAAGGTTAATAAAACCCCCTTGCTGGGCTCTGTGGCACACACCCATAATCCCAGAGGCTCTGGAGGCTGAGGCAGGAGGATCTCGAGTTCAAAGCCAGCCTCAGCAAAAGTGAAGCACTAAGCAACTCAGTGAGACTCTGTCTCTAAATAAAATATAAAATAGGGCTGGGGATGTGGCTCAGACGTTGAGTGCCCCTGAGTTTAATCCCTGGCATCCTCAAAAAATAAAAAATTAAAATAAATAAAACCCTCCTTTCTTCTCTAAGGATGGAGTTGATCCTGGGTTAACTCCTTTACTTATTTCCTTGGAAAACTGGTCAAGGTGGAACAATAACTGTGTTACACAAGCTACATCACTTCTGATAAGAGTGACCCCCAAGTGGTAAACTGGGTTGGGAGGATTTTAATGAATACATGTAAAGGGAGCTCACCTCTGGGCTTCCCTGCATATGGTGATTCTCGCATCTCTATATGACTCTTATGGGGACCCCAAGAACTATGGTGTGGTTACTACAAGAAATTGGGGTATTGGGGAGCTGGGGTTGTGGCTCAGTGGTAGAGCACTTGCCTTGCATGTGTGAGGCACTAGGTTTAATCCTCAGTACCACATAAAAATAAATAAACAAACTAAAGGTATTTGTCTTTCTACAACTAATATATATATAAATTGGGATATTGGTCTTTGTGGGACTTCTAAAAGTGGTGGATCTGGACTCATACATGTGAGTCCTGTTCCCTTGCACCTGAACAATTGTGATGGACTGGAGGGTGGTGGTTGGAGCAAGCAGACTATTCTAGGACAGCTGTGTGGACAGCTGTGCAGGCTTCTCCACTGGTGACAACTGCCTGCCCTGACCCGCCACCTTGTCTACCTTTTGGCCTGGACCCTTCGGTGCCAGGGGTGGCTTGTGGTAGTTGTGTGATTCTGAATACTTACTTGAGACTAAAAAGAGTTCTAGTAGACTCTGAGCAACAAAAACCTGATCTAATTTCCCCAGATGTTCCAATTCCAAACCTGATCTGATTTTCCCAGATGTTCCAATGCCATCGTCACATTCCCGGGAGTTCCAGGTCTCTACAGTCTTCCCTCTGCCCAACCCCTTGGGAATTTCCCCAGAAGTAGAGAGCACTATGTTCACATCACAGCAAGGCCTGGTCTTCCCACCCCAGTGGGGCCCAGCACCTACCAGGGACCTTGAACAGCTCCCCCCACAGACCTGGACTCATGACTTCTGTGTCTGAGACCTCACGCCAGACCCTGAATTGTTCCCTAATGACAATGCCTTGCTGTCACCCAAGAGTCCTTCAGGGGTGGTCCCTCACCTCCCATAACACCTGAGTACCTAGTGAGGGATGGTTCTTCAGAAGGGAATGATTCCAGTGCCACAGCATTCCTGAAGGCCTTGGTAGGACAGCTTGTCCCTGCAGTGTCCTGCAGATGGGAGCTGCAGAGTGAACACCCATCAGAGTTATCCAGGCCGTTCCCTAAAGCAAGGGTTTGTAGTCCTCACCGCTGTTTACCATCACAGTGTGGACACAGCAGCTTATCCAGTCTGCTGCTGGTGGACATTTAACTTGTTTTTATTTTGTGGCTGTCATGAGCTACATTGCAACGGTTTTTGGTGTGAACATTTTTCCGTTGGTTCCTAGGAGTGGAATTCCTGCCCACAGGGTATGTGTGTCTTAGTTTAAGCAGTTGCTGCCAAAAAGTTTTCTAAAGTATTTTGATCAGTTTGCTGTCCCCCAGATATGTGTGAGGGCCCTTGTTCAGCATCCTCACTGACCTTAAGGATTGCCAATCTGGTGGCTGTTCTGTAGTAACTTTAGTCACGATATTCATTTCTCTGCTGATAGTGAAGTTGAGGGCTCATTAAGCATTAAAGTGTCCTCATATAAAATGTCCGTTTAAATACTTTAATTTTTTTCTTTGGTACCAGGGATTGAACCTAGGGACACTTACCCACTGAGCCACATCCCCAGCTCTTTTCATATATATATATATATATATATATATATTTATGATTTATTATTAATTTATTAATTTTAATTAATTAGGTATATATGACAGCAGAATGCATTTTGATTCATTGTACCCAATTGCAGCACAACTTTTCATTTCCTCTGGTTGTACACGATATAGTATCACATCATATGTACAGTCATACATGTACCCAGGGTAATGATGTTCATCTCATTCCACCGTATTTCCTGTCCCCCTTTTCATATTTATTTTGAAATTTTATTTTGAATGCACAAAGTTACCTAAAGCCTAGATAAATTGCAGAGCCTGGCTTAGAACTTGAGATCCTCCTGCCTCAGCCTCCAGAGTCGCCACCACGCCCAGCTTGTTTAAGCACTTTGCCTGTTTTTCTAAAAATTTGAAATGATTTTTCACATAACATGATCATAATTCATGTTTTAGAAATATTCCTTCCCATTTTGTAGCTTAGTTCTTTACTTTTGGAGTACCTTTTAATGACGTTTGTTTGTTGAAATAGTCCATTTCACTACTTTTCAAACTCTGTGTGGACTATCATTTTTTTCCTAGTCATTGGCTGACTGATACTTTAGCAAAATGCAATAAAAAATGAATCACTATAAAAATAGATTCCAATCCCAGTGGCTCAGGAGGCTGAGGCAGGAGGATTGCAAGTTCAAAGTCAGCCTTAACAATTTACCAAGTCTCAAAATTAAAAAAATAAAATAAAATAAAAAGGTCTGGGGATGTGGCTTAGTGTTGGTTAAGCACCCCTGGGTTTACTCCCCAATACCCTGCCAAAAATACATTGCAATATAAAGGCAAATTTTTGTTACAGTAAATAGGCAAAAGTCTCCTTTAAATTGCTACAAAGTATCTCTATTCTTCCATCTTTCTTCTCTCCCCCTCTACCTAATCTAAAGTAACTATTTTTTCCTAGCCCCCCACAATAGCTGGAGAATATCATGCTAATAGAAATATCATGCCAAAAAACCAAACACTGAATGTTTTCTCTGATATCTGGATGCTAATTCACAAGAAAGAGGGGGAAGCTAGGGAAGAATAGAGGTACTTTAGATTAGGTAGAGAAGGGAGAGGAGGAGGGTATGAGGGTAGGAAGGATAGTAGAATGAATCAGACATTATCACCCTATGTGCATACATGATTGCATGACTGGTGTGATTCTACATCATGTACAACCAGAAAAATGAGAAATTATACCCCATTTTTGTATAATGTGTCAAAGTTCACAAGTGCATTCTACTGTCATGTAGAACAAATACAAAAAGAATAATTTGCTACAAAAGCTTCTAAAAACTGTCTCAGTGCATATACTTGCCTTATTGCACAGTGGTAGGAAAAAGTCACAGACTGGGACAAGCACTGAATATATACTTTGAGGAATCTTCTAGCAGCCTGCTCACCCTGAAATTATTAATTTCTCATGAGGTGCAGAAGTTGCACCAGCCCATGTGCCACACCCCAGCCAAATGGGTTGTTTACTGGCCCCAGCAGAAGGAGAACTAAATGCAGGTTTTGTGTGTTGGAAATGGTGTTTATTTTCTCACTGCAATGCAGAGTTCCGAACGCTTTCAGCTGCTGAGCAAAGAATTCTGGCTTCTGCACTTGACTGAGTATACAGACGGTTACAGTTTTCATTGCTCTGTAATTGGACATTTAAAAGTCTCTTGTGTTATTCCAAGAAATCTCTATGTGCACGTATGCTGTAAGAATATGTTCAGCTGGGGCTGGAGATGTGGCTCAAGCGGTAGCGCGCTCGCCTGGCATGCGTGCGGCCCGGGTTCGATCCTCAGCACCACATACAAACAAAGATGTTGTGTCCGCCGAAAACTAAAAAATAAATATTTTTAAAAAAAATGGCAAAAGGACAATATTTAAAAAAAAAAAAAGAATATGTTCAGCTGATATTTCACTACTTCGTACATTTATCTATTCTAGTGAACATCAACATTTTTTAAAATTAGGGAATTGCTTCAAATTGGAGAAAGGTCATTTTGGGGAAGGGTCAGTGTTGGCTGCATCTGGGTTTGGATATTAACTAGCTGGTTGGCTCTTCATCTGTTCACTCATTTCACATCCCATCATTTGGCAGGATCTTCTGTGTTATGTGTACAAAGTTGAGTCAAACACTCCCTACCCTGATGGAAACACTAATAATTGGGTGCCTCAAAGGAGATGGTGAAGCAGAAGATAACCAGGTAGCAGGGAAGCTGAAAATAGAGGTGTTGCCAAAGGTGACCTTCTAAAGAAGGCATGTTTCCTGAGAATTTAAAGAAATGAAAGTGAGAGTGTACATTGGCCTCAGAGGTGGTGAGGATGAGGGCCAAGGGCAAGCAACTTGCTCTCGATTTTCTACTGTTTATGAAAAGAACTAGGGAAGACACAGAGAATATAACTAAATCAGGGGTCCAAGGAGGTTTGTGGGAATTTGTTTTCTTGCTTGATTAGTTGTTATCTTTAACATGATGTCTTTTTAAGAGACTTGAGCTTATTTAAACGATGATGGAAAGGATTGTAAGAGAAGTAGAGAATGAACAATCCTCTTCACTTTCCTGATCCTTAATTTGCTCTTATGAAAAAACGAGTCCTTAGCCAGGTGCAGTGGCACACACCTGTAATCCCAGCTACTCTGGAGATAGAGGTAGGAAGATTGCAAGATTGAGGCTAGCCTCAGCAACTTAGGGAGGCCCTATCTTAAGATAAAATGAAAGGGGATGGGGATGTGGCTCAGTGGTGAAGTATTCCT